TAGACAAAGATTTTCCGAATTTGATGAAAATTTTCATATTTACTACTCTTCGTAGCACCTTATCCGTGTTTAAATCTTTTCACTCACTCGCTCTCTCTCCTCTCTCTCTCTGTCTCTCTCTCTCTCTCTCCCCCTCCTCTCGCTCTCTCTTGAAATTTAAACTTTCATCTCTTTTCACTTCAAAGACAAATATATTAACATCTACGCGTGAAATCTGAATAAAAAAAAAGGAAACGAAAAACAAAAATAGCACTAAAAGCCATGTTTATCTCGTTAAAAAAAAGAAAAAAAATTAATTATTTATTCGAGAAATTATCGCGAATAAAAGACTTTTAAGACTCACTTTAAGACATTAAACAACTTGATAATAAGTTTATAAAAAAGAAAATGAAACGAGAAATAGGAGGAACAGCGGTGATATGCAATCGATCGATAAAGTTGCGATTAACGCTCCTTATATAATCAACGTGATTCGCGATATATGGAAGTGATATCAAACCAAAGATTAATTTAAATTTCGCTGGCGATTAATAGTCAAATTTAAAACCTAACAGTTACAGAGCACGCTATTGTAGAGAAAGAAAAAGGAAGATTTCTCGTGAATGATTAAAAAATGTTTCTCAACCGATTTAATGTCTTCCATTACAATGTTACATTCAACACAATAATAATAATAATAATAATAATAATAATAATAATAATAATAAGCGCACAAAAAAAAAACTTAATAAAAACAAGCACGAACAACATTCGACACTGTGAGCTTGCTCGTTTAAGCCATAAAATGGATATTAATATTGATTCCATCTCTCTCTTTCTCTTCAATTACTACAAAATCAATTTGGTCTTGGTCTTTCATTTTTGCGTCAAGTAAGTCATCAAGCGGACTTACCATTTTTTTTTTGGCCAACGACTTTGGCTGCAACTTTTAACGTAGTAGGAGAACGTAGGTCGAACAACGAAGTTTTGAGTGGTAGTAGTAGAAGTAGTAGAAGATAGTAGTAGCATAGTGTCGTGCCAAGATAGGAGGAGTCCACGGCCAGTGTGATTGATACAAAATATAATAAAGAAGGAGTACGATAAAAGACAGTCAGTGCATTTTTTTTTTCATTCATTTATTCTTCGGAGGTGTGAATGAAAAAAAAAAAAAAAAAAAAAATGTAATAAATAAATAAATAAAACATTAAATAGTTCATTTTCCTTTTTGGGATTTTACTTTTTTCAACTTTTTTAACTTTTTATTCATATATCACGTACTAATCAATATTATTAACAAAATAATGATAATAATGTAAATAAATAAAGAGTATTATGTTGAGCGTGTTAACGTCTTAAAGCTTGTAATATCTTTTCTATACTCTGATTTCTTTTGTACTTTCCTTAAATTTTTATTTATATATTGATACGAAAAAACTTAATTCGTGATAATTTTCTTTCAATTATTCCGTAACAAACTGCTTAAATTACATTATTGTCTGCTCAACCTTTTTTTTTTTTTTTTTTTTTTTTTTAAACAAAAAAAAAAAAAAAAAAAAAAAAAAAAAAAAAAAAACGAAATACTTATTAAACGTGTTAAAAACTGAATAATAATAACTGCTAGAATTGAATTTCAATAAAAAACCTATTTGAAAAGGAATTTTATATTTATTAAAATTATGTCTGAATATACTGTGTATTCAATAACAATAATGAATTCAATTAAAAATTTTGTTTGATTTAAAGCGATATTAATTTTATAATTTAAAAGCTTTTGATTTTTCATTTTAAAAGCTTTTTTCGATATAATTACATTTCAATTGCATTGCTCATTTGACACTTCTCGACAGCCCTTATAGAGACGCATTATATTTAAATTATAAAACTTAATTGTAACTTTATGTAAAAATGACATCATTTATGAATTACGGAAAGGGCTAAAAGTTGTACAATTACTGTTAAATTGTCGTTGATGTTACAAAGTGGTACAAACTAATGAATGGGCAAGTAAATCACGTCTCTAGATAAATAAATCAATATTTGCGCTTTTACCCTACCATTTGTATCATAATGACATGTTTTTTTTTCTTTCAAACACTATATTTAATAATTAAACTTATTTGAATTATGGTATTACCCGGTGAATAACCGAATTAAATACATTTTGTCTTTCTATTTAATAAGATTTTTCAATAAATCAACAGAATACATAACACTTAACATTAAACATATATTGTATAGCGTGAAAAAGAGGTTATAACAAATTTTTAAAAACTTTTATTATTATTATTTTCATTATTAAGATTTCATTTAATTATCTGATGGATTTCTAACTATTAACAAAACATAATAATACTTTTATAGTTGATTTATGTATAATACTACAATCTATGTATAATAATATACTCATATTTAATCTACAGTGTACTACTTCTTATTTCACAACTGTTCTTCAAATGCTTTTATTTATTTATTTATTATTATTTTTTTTTTTAAATTAATGCAAATTAACCTTGAAACAAAATGACAGTAACAATTAAGTTTATAAAATTAGGACGAACTTAATTCTTAAAAATTAATTTGTATAGCGGATAAGAAATAGCCTTATACTGTTTGAATTTTTACCTTTTATATTCTCAACAACTGTGAATAAAACAAAAGTATGTTATAAAATGTATTATAAAATTATCAATTTTTTTTTTAATAATCTCTCTTTCCTTTTTATGAAATAATTGCTATAAAATTACATACAGAGCGATAATTATGTAAACTGCAAATTATATTAAATTTTCTAGTTTATATTAAGGTAAGCCATTCTAAAATATATTTGAAAATACTTGTTTTAAACAATTCAATTTGCATTTTAAATAAGAAGTTCAATGAAAAAAAGGCTTTCAATATAATATTTACGCAAATTAAACCACAGTATACGTATAGTATTTGAAATATCGAGTTTCACAATACGAGCGATTAGACTTTTTAACGGAGAATATATAATTAAAAAGGAAATTATCAAAAAATAGTTCAATAATCAATACCGACTAGCGTACAATGTTATAAAAGTTATTTTTCAATTACCACTACAAAAGAATCAGAGTATTGGTAGAGCCTGATTAGTTTTCCTGATTAATGTGCTTTTTATAAGTCCTTCGTCTTTAGAATTTTCCTAATGTATCGATACCCTATAATAAACGATAAACAACGAATTGATAATTTGTTGGCTGTTCGGTGACGATTGTGAGCAGGAGGCGAAATAAATAATTTCAATTTTAAACGAAATGATTCGGTTATCATGGGAGGACGTATAATGTACTTATGGAAATATAAAAAGTTGAAAAACTAAATAAATAATGTTTCAAAAGTTATAAAAATTTAAGCTGAACGTAGACAAAGCAATGTCTGAAATCAGACTGGAGATTCATTTTATCCTAGATAAACAGAATCTTTATTTTGAAAATAAAAATCTAAACAATATTGTTAAAAAAAAAAACAAAAAAAAGAATTTGTATTTACCTTAGGTGAATGAATTTATCCTAATTCCATTTATCATAAAGTCATTTGACTATTACCAGTTGTTTAAATAGATTTCAAATTCATAGGTTTAAAAAAAATTTCGCAAAAATATTAATTAAAAATCTCTCTTTTTTAAGAACTAAATCATGCATTTGTCTAGCATTCATTAGAAAGTGTATTTAACAAAAAAAAAAAAAAAAAAAAAAAAAAAAAAAAAAACAGGTAGCATCGCATTGACTACGTTCAGCTAAAAAGCATGCTGTGCTAAAATCGAATTTGTCAAAAATATTAAAACAAATCGTGTATTTTGAAGGATTTCATAAGACAAACCCGATCAAAGCTATTGAAATTAATGATAATTAAGAGAAAGATAATATAATAATAATAATAATAATAATAATAATAATAATAATACAGATATATGTGCCTGATTGTAGCATGTCGGTAATAATTATAACAATAACAAGAATGATGATAATGAAGATGGCGATGATGATGATGATGATGATGATGATGATGATGATGATAATTATAAATCTTAGGCTAAAATGTATGACTCAGATCATGCCTCGAACATAAAAAAATTATAATGAATATATACCATATAAAATAAATGAGTGAGAGATGTTTTGATGATTGATTAATTTACATATTATTTCTATTGAAAAAGAAAATATTTAATGCGAGATAGGCAAGATAACTTAATACTTCGTTGGAATGCGGGATAATTAAGATAAAAATATAGTAGATAGAAGTGGTGTGTATAACTCGATATGAAAGATATTTTTTTTTTTTTTTTTTTTTTTAAATTACGATAAAGATACGAGAGAAATTGAAAGACAGCTACAAAAGAAATATACATATGTACAGAGAAAATGAGAGAAAAAAAAAAGAAAAAGATTTTTAATAGAATAGATGTGCGCGTGAACGCACTGGTGTTTAAAGGTAAAAATATATAATATAATGAGTAGAAAGAGAAATTCGGCACATTGACACTATCTAGGTAGCTATATAATTAACGACAATCGAAGCATTCAAATTTTCGACGATTAATAAGGTTGAATGATACTTCTTACCATCTGTCCGTGCAGCAATATATTTCATTCGAAACAGAAAAAGAGAAATACATTTTTAAATGTTGTTATAAGTTGTAGTGATAATAAAGAAAAAATAGAGGTCGTTTATTTTGTTAAGAGAGAAAATCAATGCCCGGTTATAAATAATATTTCCATGTTTTTGTTTAATAAAGATATTGAAATAAGATGGTAATAATGTAACGGCTCTTGCTTCACTTTTTCATCAATTACGCGGTCTCTGATGCGAGCTGTTGGAATGTTTTAGCAAAGATAGTCAGATTTTTAATTGCCGTTGCCGTTACGTTATTACATCGACAAGGTTAATTAAATAAATCATACATAATAATAAGAAAAATGTTTAATTTCAAGAGAAAAGTAAATTACTGCATAGAGAAAGGAAAAGAGAAGTGGCAAATGGATCGAAAGATAAATTACCTTCTTCGAGGGCATCGTCTCCGTCGCTCATAAGTTCGTCGTCCGAGCAAATGTTTAGGACGTTTACCAACATTTCCGTAACTGTATTTGTAAAAATAAATATGTGTACAATTATCAGATATTTTTTCATAATACCTTTTTTGATCATTCTAATATTAATGATATTACGAATCTTTCATACTTTTAACATAAATGTTGTACAGTATTAATTCGTTGTAATTTTATTTTCATTAATTCATAGATGCATAATATTATTGTTAAACTCTACATGATTTGTCGACTATTTTAAGTAAGTGAAAAATTACTCATTACCAATTCTACTGTAATTTGAGGTCGAATGGTCGAAATATGAAATTGATTCTTATCTGGAATATCGTTTAAAGAATTTAATTTTAATTTATTAAATATCTTAAATCATATGCATTGCCGTAACTTTAACAGTGAACATATAAATACGTAAACATTAATAATATACAATGCTACAATTATATTTTTAATAAAATAACTAATGATATATTTTTAAAGATGCAAGTATTTTAATGTCGTGAGCATTTCTATCATAAATAAAATACCTTTTTCACCAACAAAAGGCAACGACCACGTGAAAACGTCCATGAAATTGGGTAGCCAATACGGATGTGGCGAGCAGTTGAACTGTCGAATGTTCATCACATTGTTCTCGTACTTGAGCACAGCCGCCTAAAGCACCAAAGTTCAAATTAACTTGTGCGGTTAATCGAGTTCCTACTACTTGTGGCGTCGGAAAAAAATCTTAATATTTCTTGGTCGCGCTTTCACCCATTATTAGTAATAAAACGTATTCTTTTATTACGTATTGATCAACTCTTACTCAACTTATTTATTTTTTTTTCCATACAATTACAAAAAACTATAACTACAACTATATAATAGAAATAAACATCAATACAATCATTAATGAGTAATATATTGTGGATAAAGCATACTCTGTTTGCGCGAAATTTTGCAGTTTTAAACGAATTTTGCGTGTCATCGGTTAATAATGTATGATAAATTTATATTCAAGGGAGATTGACATGAAAACATAATTTCTTATTTTTAATGATATTATATATATATATTTATTTATATATATATGTGTGTGTGTGTGTGTGTGTATGTGTATGTGCGTGTGCGTGTGCGTGTGCGTGTGCGTGTGTGTAATGTAATAATGACTTTTTTCTCTTCCAAATACAATGACTCATTTTATTTACAATTCATAACATTACTAAATATACAATTCTACTATTTAATTATTAAAGTGGATGGCTATTGTTTTATACGTAGCTCTAATTAAACATTTATCATCAACATAACTAATTTTTAAAGTTAGCGCTCTACAGTGCTGCTAGAGATGGTACAACCGATAGTAATAATTATAATAATATCTAAAAAGTTTAGTTCACAAAACTGAGCTGCAATTATACTAAAATCATGTTTCGTTTTGTATTAAATTACAAATACACATATTTAATTAACTTAAGAATAATATACTTTTCTTCTTTTATTTTTAATGTGAGAATGTTAAAAGTTCGTTGTTAAATGTTAAAAAAAAAAAAACCTCTGATATCTGATACAATAGAATAGCAATTAATATTTCACCAACGCTGGTGTACATAATTTTATTTACAAACAAAAATATTGAAAAAAAAAAAAAAAATACTTTTTATAAAAAATTTAATAAAAATAATAATATAAATAATAATATAGATAATAAAAATTTCGGAAATCTCGAATAAGATTGCATTTTGTTTTTGTTTTTGTTTTTGTTTTTTAATTGAAAAACCGATTGAAATTTCTTTCGTCATTTGGAAGAAAATTATTATTATCTTAATTTTCTTATATAGTATAAATTTTTATGCCATACCAATATTAATTGAAATTGGCACTCGTAAAATTAAGTAAAGCGCCCGTCTCGTCTATTCATCTTGACTTTAAAAACATTAACATACATTAATTTTTTTTTTTTTTTTTTGTTCTTCATTTTTCATCTTTTCTTTTCCCTAAAATTTATAAATTTCACAGGGTGAAATATAAAGATCGAAGCTCTTGATTGGAGCAGCGCAATTATAGCCCCGGTATTGTCTATGCGTATAAAAGCCAGAAATTGTAACCTTGTTATTGTAGACATCGAGATAATTGGGAGCACTGAAGATTGTTATCAGTGATGGGAAACCTGTCGTCTGTGACTTGCGGTACATACGATATCCAGCGTCCTGTGCCTCGTGTGCCCTTATGATACTCAACAGATTGTTGTTTTGAAGGAAGTCGCAGCAGGCCGCATAACTGCACATAAGATTGCACAAATTTAGACGTTAGAGGGCTTAGGGCTTTGTTCGTTAAATTATAGGCAATTTAGTCGGACACAATTTCGTTCGACTATTCATATCGATCTAACATTTCAATTTAACATTAGATGTATGGCGTAATAAAGCAAACGTTTAGCATTTGTTTAAACTGTAGAGTTTACTGTTTTACTATTAATGAAAAAAGTGAAGCAAATGCATGCCAATTATTATGATTGATAATAGTTTTACAAGAGTTATTCTTATTCAGCCTATTATCGCCTATTGACAATGTCAAAACCTATTGTAATTATTTTAACTCAAATCGACTTTTTTCTTCCTAGTCGCATTGTTATTTGTATTCCCTTAATATATACATATTACAAATGCACTTAGTACATTATTAATTCGTAAAAAATAACATTTTACATGAAATATAAATCGTTATATACTATTTAACAAGCAGTTACATCCGTTACGATAATTAACCTTATATTGTATTGTTGTTATCCTATTTCTTTATAATACTTTTTCATTTAATCAAAATTGCTTTTATTCCTAGACGTTAGATTTCCAAATATCGTCACTAGCTGTTATATTTTTCCGTACAAGCTTTCAAAATACACTGCAGCAATACAAAAGTAACTTTCACAAAAATTCACCAACTTATAATAATCCTATGTTAGTTAATTATTAATCTAACTACGACGTCGTAACGTACTGACTAAACGTATAATATTTTTACCATAATAATGCAAGTCGTATGTACGCGCATGTACTCGAACTAATCACTTATGTAAGCTTTAAAGCACACGAAACAGGTGTTGCTTACAAATAGGCAAAATGCATGGACACGGTGGATAAATTTATTTATGGAACAATTCCCTATGGGGTCGTAGACATTTTTGCATACCACATCATTTTTTCTGAAATTTAAGAGATATCCGGTTTTTTTTTTTTTTTTTTTTTTTTTTTTTTGATATAAATATTTATCATTTTTGCATAATATTAAGCATAGGTATTGATTCAGTTTTTGTGCAAAGCTTGCATAATATTGCAAGTAAATAAATTAACTAGCCTCATAAAGGAAATTCCACGCATTATTATAAACAATACAGATGACACGGATCCTGAATATTCTATTTAATTTAATCCCTACAACTAATTGCAGCACCGAGCTAGCTGTTTTTTTTTTTTTTTTTTTTAATACTGAACATTTTAAAGAATTAGGACACATTAATATCGGGACAAAGTGTATTTCATAGTAGAATTTCTAATATTATTCAGAAAGTTTGATTATTAGAAATAATTCCTTATAAATTTCCGTGATCTTCGTGAAAATTCAATGTAATAATTTATTAGAATAGAAGAAGATATTTAATCCTGACAAACTTTATGTGATAAAATTTTGCGAAAGAGTGCGAGAGATTGAATACGAAGAATGGAAATAATGAGAATAGAAACAATAATTTCATTATTATCACAATGAAAAATTAAACGAAATTAGCTGCGAGTGTAACGTCAACGTTTCTGGGCATCACATTTAATATCGATAATAAAACTATTTTTAGATTAATCTTATTATTTCAGTTCAATTTTTCTTATAAAATATAATGTACTTTTCAATTTTTCTCCACATTGTAATATTATTCCTTGTATTTTTAGACATTTCTATATATGGTTCGGTCTTATGCCTTAATGACTTTTACGCTGATAGAATCGAAAAGTTGCCAAAAAATTTCCTTATATTTTGTCGCGAATATCGGTGATTAATATACAAACAATTTTCATCGTAGATTATAAAAGTTAAATTATGTGAATTCCATGTTTATTTCTAATTACTTGATGCGCACGGAGCTAAAAATACGAATGTCAATATGGGAATGAGATGAGTCAATGAAAGTTAATGTCGTCTTTGAAAATTATAACAATTTTGAAAGGCGATCAATACGTTGTTTATGAAAATACATGACAATGATAAATGATGAAATTCAGAAATTCCTGAACAAATATAAAATTTAGCAAAACATTTCATATCTGACCGATTAATAACAATTTCGGTAATATTGATTTTGATAACAGTATTTTTTTTCTTTTTTTACAATTTATTATCCCAAAAAGATCTGTCACAGATTCCTAATATATTTATTTGCAATAATAAGTAAATTAAAGAATATCTGGCGTGAATTCAATATATTCATAGTTTGCATTTACGTAAGTTTACTAAGTAATTAATTACTTCATGAAAATGAGTTTTTTACGTGAATTTACAACTTTTTGATAATTAAAAGAGAAAATTATAAACTATGTCAATTTCCGATTTAATATATTTAATTACAAGTAAATGATGTCTTTGACAACCCTTAATGCGAATTTGCGAATATTTTGCACATTTAAGTTACATAAGATTATTAAGTACGAATATTAATTAAAGCCAAATGTAACCGAGAAACTTTAACCCAAGAATCGATAACTTGTATCCTGAATTTTTTTTATCCGTGCTAAACACGATATTATTTAGTACCGCCTTGTAAAAAGATATCACAGACGCATCCTTATGGAAAACCGATAGCCCTAGAAGGACTCGAAGATAACTCGGAGCTAAGTTAATGGGATGAGGGCTAAAGTTTCTTGTAAACCACAGCAATGTAACCTTCCTGGGCGGTTTTCGGATCCCGGGATACAAAGTGGCCACTAGATGATGGAGTCTTGTCACATAGCATTAGCGAATCTTTGCATAAAATTAACTGAATTCTAGTAACGACATCACATAATAAATTAGCTTATAAAATATATTTTAATATCTGATGGTTAAGTGACAATGTGGTTATAATTTTTTTGTATGACACTGTTTTACTTTCATATAACACTATATTGATTGTAGTGTCGTTCCTCAACATAATTAACAACTTTACAAATTTTCAAAAGCTCTTTGAAAATATAATTTAAGATGTATTATTATTATAAGGCAGTATTAATAATTATTATTATATTGATCGGATATATTTTGCTTAGCGCTATTTAATCTAATTTATTTTATATATTAGGATTAAATTCATGGCAGCTTTAATATCTAGAAATATAAATATAAAAAAATCAAAGATAAATATGTTATATACAATAAATAAATATTATTCATTCAATAGATATTAAAATTAATAATGTCATCTTATATAATTTATTTAAATAATCAATCTGTAATTTATTTTGTAAAAGGATCATAAATTTCTTTCAAAGATTCAAATGTTAAAATTCCAAACTATTCCAATCATTTTTAACAAATTAATTGTCGAAAAAGACGTTTCAAAAGTATTCGTTAATTTAGGCTTATTAATAATATTTTTGTTTTTCAATTCAATTATTTTAACGATAAGTTAAATACGAAAATCATTTAAGCCATTCGTTTAAAGTTTTTTTTTTTTTTTTTTTTTTTTTTTTTTTTTTTTTTTTTTTTTTTTTTAATATATCTAAATAAATCTAAATAACATGAAAATAATTAAATGTACTTCTAAAAAATTTAAATGCAATATGAAAGTAAAGCAACTATAGCGTTGACATATAATTTTATACTTTTAAAAGCAATTTTAATTAGATGAAAACTAATTTGCAAACACAAAGTTTACACCATTTTAATGAATACGAAACTACTCTATAATCTTAATTTTGCATAGATATTTCATATTCAATCAACAACGGATGAGAATAAGAAGATAAGATTTATATTTTCATACTGATGTTTAAATTTTGCACGGATAAATTTAATAATTTATGTTTTTGGAAAATGTACATTAAGCGTTTATGGGTAAACGATATTTTTGATACGCGAAAATATAAATGAATTAGTAATACTATAAATTATACGCAACAGCATAAAATATGATTAATAATAATGATGATCTGAAATGCAATTGAATTGAAAAGAATTTATTTGATAATTTTTATTGATTTTATCGAATTTAATTAAAATTATTATACTAGCAGAATAGATAAATATCATTAATATGTGCATTACAGATATCGTTTAGATATGGTAATTTGATTATAAAGAGCTATTTGCTGCATTGCCTATTTCATCGTTAAATTTCATCGTTAGCCTTCTAATCCTCAAATTTTATCGTCCAACGAGAAACATTATTGTTTAAATTATAATAAATAAATAAATAAATATATATATATATATATATATATATATATATAAGCTTTTCATTACATACTGTTGTAATACGTGAAAGCGTATAAAAATAACAAACATCGATAAATAATTGATCGCAAGTAGTAAGCTATTTAATAATAAGATATAGAATAGAATAGATGAAAGAGTTATTCTTATTTGCTATTTAATATGCAGAATAAAAATATTTATCGAATGACTCTATGTACTATATACACGAAGTACAATGTATATTATATGCTATAGTCTCGAAATAGCGAGCAGCGTACTATGTTCTTAAATTACTGTGTGTGCGTGCTATATTTTCAAAGTACTATATATATATATATATATAATAAATATGTACTTTCCGAGTTTTAATAGGAGTATTTAATATACCGTTCGCAGGACTAGATAAATGCATATTATTAATACAAACTTTAAAATTAACTTCGCGCTGACATTAGATTTGAAATTCTGTCAAATATAACGATAAATTAATTATAATTAATTTATTGTTAATTAATGTTTAATTATAGATCATACCTATTAACTAAGGGCGTATACAATTATGAAATTAGTTATGACTACTTCATTTAAATATTTTTTATATTTTTATATTTATACGCTTTTTCACTATATTTTTTAGAATATTTTTCACTGACCTGTAGAAGTATGAGCAACCTCGGACACTATTGTGGGAAAAATGTTCGGCATTCTTCTCGTTGCCGAAGTCTTCAAGAGGATCCGACCAAAGAAGGTCACACATGGGACCGAAAGCCGGTGGTTCCTTGAACCTATCGAGCTACAAAGTGAAAACAAAATTGTTCATAGACTAGGTCCAATGCTTTGAATTGTATTTTTAAATATAGAATACATTTACATGAGTTTCAATATCTAATTATAATTTTATGGGAAACAGAATTTTTCTACAAGAGAGAAAAAAAAAAAAAAAAAAAAGAGAGAGAGAGAAAAGAAAAAAAATAGATAAAATAAGGAAGAAATTATTCGATTGGTTTATTTTGTATAGGATTTCTTTCTCTTTCATGTTCACGTCAATAAATTGCGACGTTCATTTGATATCCAAAACTTATTTTATTTGAAGATAATGACTTCACTTCGAGAAATTATTCATTTTTTTTTTCTTACTTACTTCTTACTTTTTTAAAACAAATTTATAAGGTAGGCTTTTTTATTTCAAAAATATTCCAAAAAACTATTGTACTTTTATTGTAATTTGTTTATGCGATATGTAAGGCGATGCATGGTTTTAAAAAAATTTACGAATACAAAATATATACTTTCACGATTATTTATTGAGAAATATTGGAAAGGTAAAGACAAGAATAATAACAAAGTCATTCGACAATTCAACGTAACTGAACTTGAAAGCATTGATTATAAAATCATGATTGCCAATAAGCTCGGCAATTTAAAAAAAAAAAAAAAAAATTATTTCAATAAAATGAATGTCTGCGATTTTTCAGTGATGAACAAATTAAAAATAGTATGCCTTTTAAAGAAATGTCTTCATTTTTGGCCAATCAAAATTATCTAACAAAAATATAGAGTTAAAGTATTGTTTTAGTGTGTCGAACATGTTTCGAAATACGAAATTTTCAGCTATGAAATTGAGAAGAAAAAAAAAATACTTTATGAGTAGTATAATATCGAATGAGTTCCGGTAGCCGATGTAAATTATTTTGAGCAAAGTATTTAAAATAAAATTTCAATTTTATATGATATCGCAATGGCAACGGATATGAAAATTTCATAATTAATTTCTCCTATTCCAAGAGATAAAATTGAGTGGATAGAATAAAATTTAATAATTATTGTATCGTCTAAATAAACAAATGACTAATTTTTTTGGAATATCAACATTTATTATTAGGATAATCATTCGTTTTTTATCTCGCTATTAGAATAAATCCTTTCCCTTTCATTAAATCATGTTGATCGATTCTAATCGATTCAACAAATTACCTGATAAAAGTATAACAATGATTTGACAATACAAGCATATTTAAATCACCGATAATTTTTGGTACTCGTAATTATTACTTTTATTAATTTTATTAATTATTACTTCGACTATACACTAACGTTATAAAATTACTTTATTATTAAGTGATTAAGAATACAATCGTTAGCGATAACGACAACGATAAGAATAAATAAGAAAGGCCGTCTCTAAAATCAAATAAAAACTGTTCAATCGATATAACATGAAAATTCAAATCTAAATAACGATGATCGTTATGTGATTATGTACTTTTTAATCGAAATTCAATTTCGAGTATACAGTGCCATACGATAACGTAATCCCTTTACTTGAAATCCCATACGAACAATGCAATTTAATTTTCATTAAATTTATGTATAAAAAGATGAAGTCCAAATATCTTCAAAGTCCAGCAGCATAGTCGCTCGAAGGGCCCAAGGTGGCCATTATCATTGGCCTAGTCACACTCGTGTGTTTGCGTGGCGTGACAAAAGCACAGGGATGCCCGTTAAAAGCTAGGGGTGCGCTTTCTCAAGCCTCGACTTACCTTGCGTATGTCTTCTAAATTATGAATTTCAGGCGAAAGGCCACCGTGCACACAGAGGAACTGCTGGTTCATGAGAGCTGCGAGCGGCAAACAGTCGAAAGCGTCCATGCACGCGTCGTAAACTCTCTCTGAGTATTTAATTTTACCTAAAAATAAAGAGACGACGTGTGGTATGTGTACTAATACTACTACTAATACCACTACTACTACTACTACTACTACTACTAATACTACTACTACTACTACTACTACTACTACTACTACTACTACTACTACTACTACTACTACTACTACTACTACTACTACTACTACTACTACTACTACTACTACTACTACTACTACTACTACTACTACTACTACTACTACTACTACTACTACTACTACTACTACTACTACTACTACTACTACTACTACTACTACTACTACTACTACTACTACTACTACTACTACTACTACTACTACTACTACTACTACTACTACTACTACTACTACTACTACTACTACTACTACTACTACTACTACTACTACTACTACTACTACTACTACTACTACTACTACTACTACTACTACTACTACTACTACTACTACTACTACTACTACTACTACTACTACTACTACTACTACTACTACTACTACTACTACTACTACTACTACTACTACTACTACTACTACTACTACTACTACTACTACTACTACTACTACTACTACTACTACTGCTACTACTACTACTAAATACTAATACTAATACTACTACGTGACGATATATAAGCGAAATGTGTCTTTTGTAACGAACACGGGCTGCGGCGTGTTACGCCGCCGTCCATGAATCATCCGTCTCGTTTCGAATTTTAATAAACATTATTCCTTTGTGCCTCCTTAGACAGATGTGCTGACGGAGGGCGTTCTATATATTTTTGAAATTGTGTTTAGCATCGCGCTAAGTGAACTAGTTTTACTTTTCATTAAAGATGAATGGCTTGCGAGTAGTCGTACTACTGAAAATAAACCGACGATTATTCGCTATGTAATGGGCTCCGAGCGATTCTTTTGAATGCTTCGGTAAAATGTTAGAACAAGACGTGGTCGGTTAATTAAAACAACTATCGGCTTGATCCTCGGGAACAAAACTTATGCATCGAACGTTAATAATTAAATGACATTTTCCTTGAGAGACAACGTTAACTGATATATATTGCATGCGAAAATGCGTATAATTTTTGGAATGTCGTTTTCAAATTTTATATACCGAGCGCGGTAGTGTAGATAATTTGCACTTGTCACTTATAAGATAATCTACGTGTCTATATTTGCTTCTCAGTCAAGACTGTCCAAAGATTCTCTGGCAATAATAATTTTATTTGATGGAAAAATCTTATTATCGACCGATGTATAAGATTACGTTTCTAAATAATATAAAATATATAAGCTCTATGTATAGTCTTAAATGTATAATGTTTGAATTTGAGAATGAATTTTTTTTATTTTCAATCTACTTCAGTATTCTTCATTTTAACGTTACAAATATAAATCTCGTAATTTTGAAGCTATGAGCTAATTAATATCCAGTAGAAATAGGGGAAATTGACGTTCCGCGAGCTTTACTTCCAGCCAATAATAAATACGTGATATTAACTTATTTTCGTGTAATTAATTTCAGCAGAACAATAAATAATTCACTTTCATTATCGTAATTTTTCAAACCGAGAAATATAATATAATATTGTAAAATTGAAGAAACTTCATTTCAATTAATTCGTACTTAATACGGTAATGCCAGTATATGTTGGACAAAGTTTAAACAACCTTTGGTTCTTCAATGTAACAAGCGATCATCATGCATCGGACTATTTAATTAAATTAAATTTAATATATTGTCTTCGTGTACATTTGACTGTAGTGAAATTATACAACTATGTTTGTAAGATTCTATGTAGTCAATTTTACATAGTTTTACATACATTACTATGGATCTGTAAGTCACTAAAATAATCCATATCTGTTCATTGTTTTGCATAAATGCTTAATATTAGCATAATTATTATCAATATTGCCTCTAGTGAGTTTTCCAGCATTTTACTATTTAAATTATTGTAAAATAGTTTACATAACGGAGTTATTTTTTAAATGAAGCTATTTACGCGTAGAAAATTCATCGTATGCACAATTACGAATACAACTAATTCAATAACTATAGCCATTTTAAATATTAATATTTATTCTTTCAAAGTACTTATTTTTTCAAAGTAAATTATTCGTATGAATAAAGCTTTATGAGTAAGGATTTTTATTATAATTTATTTTTAACAATCCGTCGTGGATAATGATTTCGTTCAAAGCACGTTAAATGATGTACATTTTTATAAAATATTTTCCAATAGGTAATTGTAAAATAAAACAGCGTAATGCGAACTATTAAGATGCTAATAGCCGTAATGCTAGCATCGAAAATTTTCTTTGTTTGCAAAAAATAACTTTTATCTTGTATCAAAATAGTTTTTGTAATCACAAGTTGAAATTACTTTTAGATGAAGTTTTTTCTGGTTAAACTATCGAAGGTAAAACAGATGACTGAATAACATATTTTTCATTTTTATGAGCATCGACCGAATGTTATCTACGAAAAAATGAATATCGAAATTCCTTTTAATAATTTAAGCTGTTTCTCTTTTCAGAAAGAATAGACGCGCGTATGTAAAACTGTTTTATTTTATTTCATTTCCTACTTACATTAAATATTAGATAAAACATACGTTACCCTGCATTTTCTTATTATTGTTATATCGTATGTTTACGAATCAATTGACAAGACATATATTTTATCATCAATAGTATGAATTTATAAATAATTTAATCGCTATTATTTAATATAATAAAACATTGAGTTTACATATGAGATTAAGAAAAGATTTATTTTTATGAAGTTGTTAATGAAATAATAAATTTTAATATCATTAATCAGTTATTTTAGGTTCAAGTTAGGAAATTGAATATTGATTATTTGTCATATTTTTTGCAAAATTAAAAAATTATTTTAATTCAAATTAGGAACGTTATGGAAATTCATTGTAAATACATTTTTCTGTGTAAATTACGTGTAAAAGAAAAACCTACAAAGGCAAATGTTCTTGTTTATAATAAAAATTTCTAACAAAATAAAATTTTTAAATATATTTGAATAATTACGTGTAAAAGAAAAACCTACAAAGGCAAATGTTCTTGTTGAAAAGAATTATTAAATGGATTTTATAATTTTAATTTCATATCTATTATTGATTTATTATAATTACGGAATTTATTACAATGATATAGAATATCAAAGTATTCATCTGTAATGAAAAAATATTTCCGTTATTTTATTCATGATTTTATTATTGCTTGTGCATACTAAAGTACCGTATGTATAATTTAAATTCTCTCCCCCCCCCCCCCG